TTGAACCTTCCTGCTTTCCTCCTGTTGTTCACCGAAATGGACATCCAGAAGATTGCAACCAAAAGCGGCGCACTGCAATGCATACCTAATGGTTGTTTAAATTGAACTGAACGCAATGTATGGGAATGATATTTAAAACTAAATACATGGTGCCACGTAATGGTAGACTTGAAATTGGAAGTTGAATGGAGAGATTTCATAGAAAGCAATGGTTTATGGAAAGCTTGTTTGCGATGTTTGTTGACTTCGCTCGTTAGCAGTATGCGATGCGAAATCAAGTATCTGGAAGGAGACCGTGGCTATTCGACAAATACCAGGTGGAATTAAAGTGCACCAAGATAGTGCGATTTCAGCACAGTTTAAATACGAGCCAAATAATAGTGGGGTTTCACAGCTCTATCATAGACTGTCTGTCAAAAACGCGACCGTTTTAGTTGTAGCACAGAGCAAATATGCGCCAGTCTTGTAGTTGCAGTTTCATTTGGTGGTTTTACAGTATGCTGAATTGGTGATGTCTAACTCAGGGTACACACTTGTTTAGTTTTAAGCATTAATTACTTCTGTTCTAGTGCATTTCATTTGTCTACTTCATGAACTGCACTTGTAGAACTATAAACCCCGTGGTCGATTTCCGTGACTGGAGGTTTTCCTTATAATCAACCGATCGTCTTGTTTCGTTCGTCGATTTTTGATTGATTCATTGATCCTTATTTACCGTTCTCCGGAATATTTGTATGCAAATATATGGCCCAGTAAAAGACAATCCCAGACAATTTAACTCTTGCATTCCCTGTCATTTGGTTGTGTAAGTTTCGGAAAAGGGTTGCCTTTAGGTCACTTTCTTGGACATCTCGCCCCAACTATTTCTCCCTGCTAAGTAAATCATTTTCCGCTTGTGTTGCTAATCGATTACAAAATCGTTAGCGTAACTCTATATGCATGTACTGTGACGAGAATTTCTTGGTGTTTTAGAGAATACGTCCGCTGATTTCTTTAGAAGTCAAACTGGTGGACAAGCTCGTTTTCGGCGCTTCATTAACTAACAAGATATAGTCCGATTATATGGATCATTCATATTCATTTTAACCGAGAACATTGTATTAGTAATGAAGCACGAAAAACGCGCTTTTTGCCACCTTAAATTCCTCATCTTCTCCTGGCACTAGGCATTTTCTTCGCTATCACGTCACATATGCTGTGTGGCCATCAAACCTCATCACATTAGTCCATTGGTTTAGTGAATTCTTTCACTGACCACATTAGTGACCTCTATTTTCGCCGGGCGAGGTATCTGACGACCCCATATGTACAACTCTGTTGTTCATAGTATCGTGCGGGGTATCGCACGATGTTGCTCTGTATGGTGAGCGAGTTCTGAGCAGCTTTTTAGTCTTTGTCTTTATACGTCACGTTGGAAAAGCTCATGATCTGTAATCGCTCAAGTATAGTTGCTTAATGGGATCTACAGGAAATCGGAAATGTTACATGAGTGTAATGAACGCTTTTATTCCATTTCATATGTTGAATTCGTCATGTATAGATTAAATGAAGCGTAAACTGCAAAGCTAGGAGGCATTATACAGCTGTTTCGACCGGATATATGGTGCGGGAGAAGAACGAGAATGTCTTGAGTACCGTATTTGGTAACTGACTACTCCAGTACTTAAAAGTAGTGAGATCAGGTCTAGTCTCCCGTTATTACGCACATTTAGATTTTACCATAGGCCTTAATTCTCACGTACGAAGAACACATCTCAACACCAAAAGTTACGTTAATAATGTATCATGTAATGCAAAGAAAATGATCAGGTTAAACATTCACACCGAACTGGTTCCTCAAAAGTCTGCAAAGTTGAAATTAGAGAACCCAAAACGTTCATGCTCTCTGAATCGTCCAATTAATCATTTGGATTCTGACTGGAACGGCAAATACGGCGCACCTCTATACCCAAAAACAACGTCCGTGCAGGCGTTCTAGTGCCCCCTTCCCTCGTGACAAGTAGTCCATCACATCTTGTGCAATCATGTACTACCTCTTGTTCAGTGATGATATCATTGCGATTCATCTTTGATTTGTGCCACTCCAATCTCTGGTTTGTTGACACTGCTTAAGACAATACCAAGTGAGAAAAGAACGTTACCCAGCCAGAACATAATCTAATGGCTTTTCGTTGCAGACATTCCTCTGAGTTATTATTTTTATTTGCTGTCTAAAAGCTGTGCGCTGCGTGCTCATTTATATAGGGCCGATTCGTCAATTTTTATAATGCAGGGTCGTGATCGATGACACCACACTTATTGCATAGTTGATCATATTTGAATCCAAAACTAAAATCGTTCAAGCATTTCCCTGTACTTGTGTTAACTATATTTGTGAACCATGCTATATTTATCCCCGTTTTCTGCTCACATTGTAGCAGGAATGTGCACACATAATTGTTGGTCTACTGCAAAATTGGTGGAAACGGAATGGAGTCCGAACGTGGAAGAATTTCGCGCACGATTCGATCCCAACCTTGTTGAAGAAGGCCCGAATCGATTACGTAATCTTTATTTCACCTACTTGGTCGAACTACGTGCTTTGGCCAAGGCTGCGCCTTATCTAAAGCGTCAGACTTACTACACAGGCAATGAGACATGGGATCAAGGCACGCGGCAGGCGGTGCGTGATCTGTTGAATATTATCCAGTAAGTAGTGCATTATTATTGTGTGTTAAGGATTCGACTGTTTCGTGGTCACCTTCATTGTAACTTTAGTTCTAATCACATTCGTTCATAGGGAATTTTGTTTACCATTCATAATATGTGAGCAGAAAATGTGCAATTGACCAGCAGCTTTCGAGGGGAAAAATACGAACGAGCATCCAGTTGAATCAAAATGCACAGCGTTATCAGTTCAAAAGTGTGAAATTTCACTTGATCTTTTTGTCATATTTGATTCACAATAAAAAGATAGCTTTTACTGCTCGAACAATCACTGTCTATTCCAGCGATAAATTTTCATCGTTGCGCATAAAGTGATTTCTCGATTTCACTTGAATGTGCAACACTTGCTCATTCGTCTAAGCATGGTAAAGTCTGTTCGGCAGATTCCTTGCACCGACTTTCATCATTACCTTCGATTTCTCTTGTATGGGCGCTGTCTAGCAAACAAACGAAAAGCCACTCAGTACCATTTGGTCCATGTCAAGCGGTACACACTGCCAATCAGGATGGGAGGTTTTCTAATGAATATTGTCGAGTAACATAGTAATAATGCACAGTTCAGAACATTAATGATGCACAAACCCAATGAGGAAAACAGTTTACCTCGAGTTAAAAGTGTTCGAAACATTCGGTGGTACAGTACTACAGCTGCCAGACAATTCAGACACCAACTCCAGGTGGCCTCGGTAACACTAAATTCGAAAAGCATACGATTGACGAGATCAGCCTGTACTCATCGTTCAGTCACAACTGTCAGTGAGCCTCAAATTCGCAATGCAGTTTAGGATTCTTCACAACACTGACCCAAAAGTCTGTTCTCTGACTACGGGAGGAAAAATAAGAGAAACAGCATATTATGTGATTAGCGCAAGAGCAGTTCGGGTTTAAATAACATGCTCTTCCTTTCGTCTACTCGTTCGGCCTCATAGGTAAAGAATCCTTTAGAGCTCATACATTAACGATGAGGAAACGCAGGGCATTCAGAACCTCAGTCGATTTGGTTCTCTTTTATTCACCAATGCATTTTCCCAGTTTTACTCCATTGTTCCCCTGAAGTGTTTTCCGGCCTCTTGAAACAAGAAGGCAGGACGATTCGTCAGGAAATGCTGATAGTCAGTCGTGGATACATGAGTTTGTTTGATCCATTAATCGCAGAACTTTTTAATATGCACACTCTTCCATTAACTTCACTAATACGATTCTTCGGCCCCGTATCTGTAAGCAGTGGTGTTAAATATATTTTCCGCTTTCTTCACTGCACATTGATTTATTTTCAGTTAACAAATATGGCGATCTCACCACCAATGATGATGATAAATTGATAGATCACGTTGGTGCTATCATTTTGATCCCGTCTTGCTTTATTCCTTCCATAAACGGGACCTTGGACCCATCGATTATAGTTCGTGTGTCCAAATCCTTCAAATCTATCATACTGCCACCCATACCTCCAATATAGATAAGTTTGAATCTATGGAGAGATCCCCAACTTCGCAACGGAGTCGTCACGAATGAACGCTAGTCGAAAATGAACAAGAAACGATTAACAGGACAGATTGAGACGTGTAGTTAGTATTGTGTCACGCAAGCGATTGCGGAATTATGTTCCACTCAATTCCAACCTGCCGCATCATTTGGAATCGTCTTCGTCAGACGCATTTGCTCAGTCATTCTTTTTTCCAGTCTTCTGGATGTCTGACATACGTTACAGGACAAAAGGGTCAAAATGTTGTCACCAACTCTTTTTGTTTTGGTTTTTTTGTTCATCGTGGCTAAGACAAGCGTATTTCTCCAATAGGACGTTATTTTATTCACATTATTTTTACTTCCTTGCGCCCCATCGGGTCCATCAATCGATTTCTTTTACAGTTGCTGACTTCGTGATTGGGGAAAACGTTGTCTTCTCAAATTGTTTGCTTAACCTCTCAGTCGGTTCCTCTATCAACTTTTGAAAGCATGAAGAGATTATTGTGCGGCTGTTTATCATAGTGTGACTCCTCGAGCCTCGATAAAGCGACCACCATTTTTCTGTGGCCTCGTCATCTTCATAAAACAAACATAGTGAAGAGAACTTGGTTGATTGCCATGAGATGCCACGTCTCTGTCACCAATTTAACGTTGC